GACCTCTCCTGGCCCTTCAAGGAGGCTGGTGGGGGGGGGGGGGAGGGGTCCCTGCCTGTTTCCAAAGCCCAGAGGGGGGAAATGGGCATCGGGGGGGGGGGATTAAAGGACCACATCAAGACCTCCATGAAAAACAGCCGCCTTAAGAAACTCTCCAGGGAGACCCCCCTGAGCCACTTTCTCCGGAGGCCACGAAAGCCACGGAGGAGTCACGAGGAGAACCTGGGGCAACTGAGGTCACACCTGCCGGAGGGGAGGGGTCTCAGGAGGACTCCCCCCCTCCCAGGAGCCCTCCGGCCTTCTCTGGGGTGGCTTGGGGAGTGGAGGGAGGGGTTTGCTGCCAGGGCCTTGAGGACGGGCAGAGGGCAGAGGTGGGGGGGGCAGGTGCAATCCGAACCAGGGACCGGAAGCTGGGCCATGCAAGCGACGTGCTTCACTCCAGCCGAGGAGGGTCGGCTGCCTTGGTGCCAAGGCTGGGATGCCGACGGGGCACAAGCGGGTCCTTCTGGCCAAACAGCCAGTTAAGCGCGGCGGGAGGGGGGGGCAGCCATGGCAAAGCCTCTGGGGGCAGCTGGGGAAGCGAAGGCAGAAGCGGAACGTGCTAAGCAGGGCGTGACTCGCACTGGGGCCTGGGGTGCTATAGGTGGAGGGGGGGGGAGTTGAGCGCTTTCACAAAGGGGGAGCCCGAGGCCTCTTCCCTGCTGGCTCCCCTTCCAGGTGGACCTTCGGGCGGGGGGCTTTCCGTCCCCTTGCAAAGCTGAGGAGGCTTTTCCGTGGACGGCTGTCCTTTGGTGACCAGGAGGTGCCCTCAAGAGCGGCTGCTTCCCCTCTGGAGAGGGGCACTGGGCCCTTTCCCTGCCCTGCCCATCCTTTGGGGGGCTATTTAGGGGTCAAGGTACCAGGCCAAAGGACTGACCTTTCCTACCTCTTCCTGGGGAGGGGTGGGTGTTGGGGGCAGGGACTGGGGAGGGGGGGAATCAAAGAGATTTCTCTGGCACAAGAGAACATCGGCTGCTTCACTGCAGGACCCCCAACATGGCGCCCTCCGAGCAGGTCGGCTTCCCACCCTCTCCCTGCAAGCCAGCTGGCAGCCATTGGGGTCCACGTCCACCACCCCCCCCGCCAGGCCAAGGTGGCCCCTGGGATGGCACAATCCACACTCAGCCACATCGGACCTCCGTCTCCCTGGCGTGGAGCCTGCTCTGTGGAGACTTCCCTGCACGGCTGGGCGGTGGGCTCGGCTGCCTCTGCTCCCCACCCCCCATCCTCTTGGTTTGGGAGCAGATTCCTCAAGAGCTTCCCCAAGGGGGGGGAGGGGGCTGAAGTTGCACCATGTGCCGCGTCCCAGGAAGAGCAACGGGGGCACCAACCCCATGGCGACCCACCCTGTTCTGAGCCAAGAAGGGAGGGGCCCCTGTCTAAATGCAAAGAAGGGGGGGGGGCTTCTGAAGAGGGGGGAGTGAGGGGCTGTTGGGAGGCCCCTCTGCACACAGGCCTCCCACACACTGCCCCCCCCAGCCCTTCCAGGGGTGGAGCTTTATTTGGGGGGTGGGAGAGGAGGGAGTCTCTCAGGGGTTTTGCCAAAGCTGCCATCGGAGCTCTGGCCCTGAGGCCGGCCTGCCCTCCTCCCGGCCGGGCCCAGACAAGCATCAGGGCTGGGCGGCCTTCGCGTTCCCTGGCGCAATGCCTGCCGTCGGGACTTAGCCGTGGTGGCCCCGCTCCGGTCAGCCGAGGCTCCGGGGGGCATCACGCAGTGTTTGCAAACACAGGTACGGCTGCAGCTGCTTAGCGGGAGGGGCTGGTGGGCTCCCCCCGGGTGGGGGGGCTGCGCTGGCCTCCTTGATTGGCAGGAGAGCAAAAGCGTCTCCCGCGTCCCTAGAGGGGAGGGGGCTCCCCCATCAAGGAGGCGTCCAGCTTTCCCGGTCCCGAAGCGAACTTCCTGCAGACGAGGGGGGGGGGAGTTTGGGGAGGGGGTCTGCAGTCTTCGGGCCTCCGCGGGAGGAGGCCTGGCAGGCAGCTGGGCAGACGCGTCTCCTCTGGTCCCAGAAACAGCTGCGGAAGGGACGGAGACACCGGCTCCACGGCACGTGGAGCGGAGAAAGCGCCTGCCGCGCGTGGGTGCGTACCTCGGCCGTCTGATGCGCTTCCCTGGCCGTGGGGAGGAGGCGGCTGGCGGCTGGGCATGGCTTGAAGGGGGGGGCACCCCCGCTCCCAGCCCAAAGCGACAATTGTGAGCCCTCCAGGAAAATTGGGGAGGGGGAAGGTTCTAGGTTTACTTGGCCTGGAGACCCCCCCCCTCTCTGGAGACAGGCTGAAACTGCCTCCTTCTGGACCCTTGGGATCCAGGGGGGCCTTTGCTTTTTATGAGGAGGGGTCCGATGGACGCCAGTTGGGTCTTTGGCACCTGCTTTTGCTTCCCCACACGAGGGAGGGGCTCCCCTGGGGGGAGAGAAGGCAGCTCCTCCCATCGCCAGGAGTGTCCAGGGGCCATCAGGCAGTCTGGGGGGCCATCTCGGCCCTTTGGGGGCTCATGAAGTCCCAGCGGCTCCTTGCACCCTTTCTGGCCAGGAAAGCCCCCTCTATAAAAGGGGTTTTCCTGGCCCAATTTGTAAAAAGGGGATAAGAGGACTGGGGGG